TTAGGTTACGGGATTTTTTAAACTGGCTCCGTTCTTAATGCAACCTGATTCCTGTGTATGTTACGATGTACCTCTAACTAAATACAGGTAAAGAAGCTACAGAGAGAAGGGGAGCTAGACTCCATTGTGGACAACAACCTTAATCAGAATTATGACAGCGAGGATCTTGAGATGATAATACAGATAGCACTGCTCTGCACGCAGGCATCACCTGAGGACCGGCCATCAATGTCTGAAGTGGTTAGGATGCTGGAAGGTGAGGGTTTGGTGGAGCGGTGGGAGGAGTGGCAGCATGTGGAGGTGACAAGGAGGCAGGAGTATGAGCGGATGCAGCAGAGGTTTGACTGGGGAGAGGATTCCGTCTACAATCAGGAAGCGATAGAGTTGTCTGCAGGTAGATGACAATCAGTGGAACGGATGGGTGTAAATGCAATGATGCGGTGCCTGCTGTGCTGTATGTAACTGTTATTTGTAGAGTAGTTATTAGATAGATATGTTCATAAGATTATTCAAACAGACTTGTTGAGCAATGCATGAATGTGGATGGAATTAGATGGATAAAGGGCAGTACATAGATTGAGGTAACTGTACTTAATTTGATGGACATATAGCAGCGGTTAGGTTGTTTCTGCGCCATAAACATGCATTGACATTCATCTCTAGTTGCCAACTGTTAATAAGTGAGCATATAAATGTATCCATATTATTAGTTTCCGCCTTCTGGATTTGTGTACTTCTTTATAAATGTATCCATATTATTAGTGTGCTTTAACTGTTTTTATTGTGCCTACCGATTTACAATGCAAAAAGGTGGGCTAATAAACCAATGTATTTTTAGTTACCTTAGCACTGGAGATAATTTGTCTTGACACGGTCACCTTTGCCATGGTCAGAGAGAATATTTTAGAGAAATAATGTAGATAAAATTGTCATAAAGCAAAGTTTAATAGTCCATCCGTTCCAAATTATAAGTAGCTTTGACTTTTTTTATTTATCTATTTTACCATGTATCTAGACATATTATTATATCTAGATACATAGCAAAATAGATGTAAAAAAAAATCAAAATAACTTATAATTTAGAACGGAAGAGTAAGTTTTTTCGTCAAATGATGATTCTCTAAAAGGAACACCAAACAAAATGAATGGAACAGAATGCAACAACAGAAGTGATGTTGTCACTTGTGAGATGATAGATAAACACAAAGATAGTGCGGTTTCTCCTTTTAGTGAATAAATAAATTATCCGACATGGCTCGTAAGATCATAGCGGCGGTACATTCTAAACTTTGCTCAATATTATCCATTTTGTCATGGCCTGACGCGAGGAGATAAAGGAACAAACCAATCAATGTTGTAGGTGTTTTACATAGACTAATGCGGTAATGCCTGATGAGAAAATCATATGCTCTTTGACTCAAATATACTACTATGTGTGCCGGAACACATTTCAACTCTAGGTACGATGCCGCAAGCAATTTACATAGGATGATAGGAACATACCTTAATCTCCAGATCACTTGATCCTTGAAGTAGTATTTCACGAGTCTTGACGGCAACTTTCGCTTGTCGGTCTCTTTTGCAAATATGAAAGAAAGAGATACCACAAAATCATAAAAAAGTCAAATCAACCTCGACACTGTGAGGCAGCAAGCGACCGTAAGAAGGAGATGGGACAGAGAAGTGCATGCGCATAGAGGCAAATAGATGGACTCTCAAATGTTTCCTATAAATTGACTAGCAATGAATAGATGAGGTTTAGTGGAAACTATATATGATTTTTTTATCGGTAATGCTCGGTCAGGGAATCCCTCAGACGCAGCCGTTGGTAGGCCATGATTCCGGCCGAACGACCATCAGACTCAAATCGTGTTACTAAAAAAATATGGAATACTCCGCTCTTACTTTCCCTTTCCTCAGGCTTTCCCGCAGTGTCGCCACCAATTCAGCAGCACTCCCCGTATCGCAACCGCACCGTCGTGGCGTGCTGCATCGCGGGCGCGCCCGCATTGCCGCGGCATGCTCCACCACGGTTCTCTCCACCGCGCCCCGCCGGCCGCCATCCTTCCTCTCCATTGCACTTGAGTGCGGCCGCCCGCATTGCCGCTGCTCCACTGCGCCTCCCCCCACATGACCTTCTCTGCTGCGCCCCACTCTCTCTTGGTGGTGGTGCTTTGGTCTGTCATGATCACAAGACGCCTTAACTGCGCCCTGCTCGCTCCTTTCTCCTACAACTTGCAAGTGTTTCAAAGGCACGAAGCATTTGTTCAAAAAATTTTATTTGTTTTAGATATATGTTGCAAGCTTTTCGATTTGCATGTGAAACATATATATGTCGCAAAGAGTATGTTCGAAATGTTTTAGCCGTTTTAGTCTCATGTTGCAATAAGTGTTTTTATGTTGTAAGTTGCAAGCGTTTGATCTAGATGTTGCATATGTTTTCACATATATGTTTCAAGTGTATGTTCCAAATATTTTATCTGTTTCAGACATATGTTGCATCCAAGTGTTTCATATTCTAGAGGTAGAGAGTCATGGGGCACCTGCCCGGCCTCGGGGGATGGGGCGCGGCGAGCTGGGGGCGGCGGTCTAGGTGCGCGACGCACTTAGGGTCATGCGTCGTCCTCGTCTCGGCTCGTGGGTCCTGCCCGTGCGGAGAGAGGAGGGGGTTCAAGGAGAAAGAGCGCGTGGGGGTGGCGTCGGGGGTGGGGAGGAGGCGCGACATTCGAACTCGTGGAGAGAGAGGAGGGGGGGGGAGGGGTAAGAAGGAAGGAGCGACAGCGCCCGGCGTTTCCCAGGCATTACGTGACGGAAGAGGCGCAAGTGTCCGGACGCTACCTTTGGCGAGGTTATGGGTTTAGAGGAGCGTCAGGATGAAGTGGCTGACAAACCAGAAAAATCTTGTAGATATAAAAAAAACTATACTAGCAAATTTAATTAAAAAAAACATCTCGATCCCAAGTACACCTCCCTCGCGTTCCTTCTCCCGTTTCGCTGCCGACACCGCTCTCTCTCTCTCTCTGTCTGCGACGACTGGATGGGCTACCGCCGCCGCCGCCCCCTAGGTGGTGAGGCCTTTGCCTACCTCTTCGCTGGCGATGAGCGCCCACTAGGTATTCACATCCCTTTTCTCTTTCATGTCTGCTGTGCAAAACCGAGTTCTCAATTTTTTTTTAAATTGAGTTCTCAAACTCTAACCTCAAGCTATTTGGCTATTTGATGCCTTCTAACTTCTAACTTTTTACAAAAATTATTGGATGTACATGTGTTCACCCATGTCCCTTTACTAGATCCGCCCCTGTCTGGGTCCTCCATTGTTCGAGTGCACATGCATGTCCCTTGTGGTGTTTATTTTGTCTAGTTCAGTCACGATATCCTTCGTTGGCATGGGCGGCGCCAAGGGTATGCCACTATATTCTTGAAATACCCAAGATTTTGTGACACTACAATAAATATATATATACAAATTTACATGTATTTTGGTATATCCCGTTTTATATTGTAAATATGGCAAATAAACACAATACCCCAATTAGTTCTCGCAGCCCACCGAGAAACAAAGCCAAAAAAAATGTAGAAACCCATCGACTCGCTGTCTGCCTGTCTCGCTCTCCCTCCCCGGCTCCTATTCGTCGCTCTCGCTCGCGAGAGGCAAAACCGCGCCACCCCTGCTCTCGCCTCGCAGCGCGCCGCCGCCCGCGGCCAGGCAGGCCGGCAGCCCGCAGCCAGCACCTCCCCCACTCTCCCCTGCGGCCCTGCCCCTTTCCCTGCTGCCTCCTCCTGGCGCGAAGGAGCCATCCACCGACGGCCAGGCGGCGGCGCCCCTTCGGCGTCCGTGTCCGGCCCTTCGCCCTCCCCCTCGGCGGCTTGAAGCAAGGTGACCAGAGCACCCCAGATCGATTTCGCGCCACCCCTGCTCTCTCCTCGCAGCGCGCCGCCGCCCGCGGCCAGCCAGGCCGGCAGCCCGCAGCCAGCACCTCCCCCACTCTCCCCTGCGGCCCTGCCCCTTTCCCTGCTGCCTCCTCCTGGCGCGAAGGAGCCATCCACCGACGGCCAGGCGGCGGCGCCCCTTCGGCGTCCGTGTCCGGCCCTTCGCCCTCCCCCTCGGCGGCTTGAAGCAAGGTGAGCAGAACACCCCAGATCGATTCTTCAGTGTATGAAATTTGAACTATTGAAGATTTCTTTTTCTTATTTTTTGATTGTATTCTTGTAATGTAGATGAAGTAGCATATTGACATTGTGGGAGAAAGCTGCGAAGGCAAAAAAAAAACAGCCTCCACATCCACACCAAATGCTACTTATGGTCCATTATATTACATATTTGCTTTGATTTTTTTTATATGTGGCATACCCAGCTGCAAATCCCTGGCTCCGCCACTGAGCTGGGTCCACCCCTAGTGTTTATGTTGTCAGTTCAGTCACGATATCCTCACCGTGTGCAATGTGCAGTTAGTTTTTATCAGGGTGAGATGAATATTTAGCTCATCAGATACAGCTGAAATTTCATTAAATATGGGGCGCAAAACCTTGAAGCCACTAAAACAAGGACAATCGCATAACATAGCCACTAGAACAAAACAAGTTTGATATCACAGTTTTTACATTCTACAATTACAAGGCCATGACCATTGGCGGAATTGAAGAATAGTACTTGCTGTGTCTGTTAAGGTGTGATTTTGAATGAAATTGTCGTTTTTATATTCTCTTACCTCAACTTATTGTTTGATACTTTGATGTCTCCAATGCCATGTTCTGGCTCTTATTGTTGTTTGATGTTTTATCACAACAATTATTTTTCTAGTATCAATTAATTTTAAGCAATGATCTAAGCTGTTGTTCTGATCGAACCTGATGCTTCCTCCACACTAATAATTGCAACTTCAACATTTCATGGTTATGATCCTATTTACATTTGAAGCACCAAACAAGTCCACTGTTGCCCTTGCTTTTGCAGAGTTCTATATTAATTATACTGCTAGATATGCTTGGGCGTTAGTGCCATGGCTCCTCATTACCAAGCTGCGACCTTGATCGCCTCTCCGTCTTACCCAAACGCCATTGCTTGGTCAAGTGACAATCTTGTGGCTGTCGCATCTGGTCACATTGTAACTATTCTGGTAAGTGCAATCCAATCACTCTAAGATGATCACATGTATGTCATATTCTCAGGGTCATGATAGTTTATGTATGGAATATGGATAAGCCTAACCTTGCACTAACCATGCCCATTTTTTCATATTCAAGAACCCAGCTGCGCTTGATGGACCCCGTGGATTGGTTGGACTTCGTCGCAGTGACCCTTTTCCTATAGGAGTGGTTAAGAGAGAAGGTAAAACTGGTCTTTGCATTAGTCATCTCCCAGAGGGCTTGCTTAACTTGGACATTTGTGTTAATTATTTTGTACAATGAATGAAGACTTAATTCATATATACTGTATCCAGAAATTTGTTGGCTTGACATCAGTTTTGTGATGTGAATGTGTGGTGCTGTAAAAAATAACATGGAACTTTGGGAACTATAGTGAATAAACTGTCTTGCTATTTGGCTTTTCAGTTTTAGCAATGTTTGAAGAAAATGTCATTAAACGCTTGCCTAGACGCTCTTAAGCACGAGGTGGAGCCCTGGCAACGAGGTCAGGATTGCAAAATTGTTTGTTGTGGTGTGATTCCATCCGTGCTTATGTCATGGCATCCTGTTGCTTGATTGCACCCACCCTCTGCTTGATTTCACCATGGGTTCTTTCACACAGCCAGAGCAGAGTTACATCTCCTTATATGCAGCTAGTGGGTTACTGCAACATAAACACCTCCCTTTGGAATCTTAGGTTTTACTAGTCATATTATACTTATAATTCATTCAAATCAAACTACTATGACGAGTGCATGTTCAACCTCCTGAACAAATGTCATGGCATTTTTCCATCTGTTCCAAAGTACAAGGCAAGATGCATTTTAAGATTCAAACTTTGACCAACAACAAAAGTGGTTATATTGGATTTGTATTTAGAAATACGTTCTAATGATCAATTTTTTGTTACCACATACAGTATATTATGAGAGAAATTAGCTGTCAAAGTACGATCTTGATGACTGTGCCATGTTAAACCACACCTTATATTGTGATGCAGGGAGTATAAAGTTTTCCATTACTGCCATTTCACCAAAGAGTGGAAAAAAACAGGAAGCCCAGTGAGACCATGTAGGTGTATTAATTCTGTTTGATCTAAAATTTTCAATTTATCAATATTTGCAGATCTCTTGGAGCCATGTTTATTGCCCACTTCCTTAGCACGTGAAACTGAACCATGTGCCCGATCGATTTCATGGTCTCAACAAGGATTTGCACCTAACTCTGGGTATACATACTTTTGACATTCTAAATGATCTTCTCTAGGTGTAAGTTTTATGTACAAGCTCATCTGTTCATCCTACTGTACTTACATATGTTTATAATATGGATGGCTAATGTAGGTGCTTGCTGGCTGTTTGCACTGTGGATGGTCATGTGAAGCTTTACCGGTCACCAATTTGGGAGTTATGTGATGAATGGGTTGAAGTGAGCATTTTCTGTGCTATTTAAGCAACATTTAATTTATGATGAAATGGTTGACTAAGAAGTTAGTCTGGATACCAACAAAATGTGTGCTACAGTGATTCTTTTTGGTTAGGGCCGTGGTTCCCATGATCCACGCATAATGCATATAAGTAATATAACTTTTTTTATTATTATTAGGAGAATCAGATGAACATTAACTGCATAGCCTAGTTTTCAGCCAAAATTTCGTTCTGTACCACTTTCTTATTCCTGTTCCAACTTCTAATCAGAATAGAACTTGCAATTTAAGTTCGTTCTTGACTCTTTGGTTCTAGGATTAGCTTTTGTTTGCTCTTAGTTGTCTGTTATTAATTTCTAGACTATGCTGTTGTCTTTCATTGCATTTGTTTGTTAGGAATGAACAGTGATCACCTGTTCTAAGTCACGGATATTTTGGTGCTTATTAACATTTCACCTGGCCTAGGCCGCAGATATATCACAGTTGCTGTTTAACTACTATAAAACTATAAATTTCGGAGAGGATAATGGTTCTCATTTGACTTCTCTGGTATGATAACTTCTACTCTAGCATGTCATCACGCGTTTATTTGAATATGTGGCTAAAAGTATTATTTTTATAATCAGAAGAATACAAATACTGGGGAGACAGAGGTTTTAGGATCTACTTGTGAATTGCAAGAATCTCTTTCTTTCAGGGGTCCTGGACAGAGAAAAAGAAAGCCACCAAGGTGAATGATATTATCTGTTTCTACATCATAAATTTGTCATTGAGAAAAGATTCCACATTTGAAATAATAAGATGATCAAAGGAAGCACCATTTAGCCATCATGTAGGATGTCAAGTGCTTATATGCAAGCACTTTGTACGAATTCATCTGTGGATGTCACAAATCTTTCCTTTTAATTTATTTTGTTGCAAGAAGACAACATTCTTAGCAATCTTTCTAACATCCATATACTGTACCTGAATCTGTTTTCACTGAATTTTTATTGAATATAGAGTTGATGGTTTTATTTATGACAGCAATGAAGTTGATTTAGACGCTTCAAAGGATGCAGACTTCTCGATGGAACCATGCTCTAAATCAAAGAAGAAATCGTTGAAAAAGGTAGAGATTTTACACATTTATGCTGAAGTTTCGGTTTATTCTTTTACTTTGTAATAAAAGAGAAACCTAGTTGTTTCTTAACAAAAGGAAGAGCCAATTATTCCCTCCGTTTTTAAATGGCACCATTGACTTTTTACATCCGTTTTACTTTTGGTGTATCCGTCATTCCTTTAAATATTTGTGCAAATAGACAAACATACATGGCATGCTTAAAGTGATTTCGATGACAGATCTAGTGACACTTTTTTTCACTTTCCTTAGCTACTAAGTAATTGAATAAATATTTCTGGTCAAAGTCTGAGAAAAAAATTTAAATGGTATCATGTGTTTAAAAATGGAGGGAGTGTCATGCTAAAGGTGTTTCGTAGCATAGTACATGACTATTTTGTGTTTTAACATTACTGTGTTTGTGATTCCAGACTGTAAAACCCAGGCATGAAATAGTTGCTGTAAATGAACGAAACAGCACAGGAAATATTAAAGCATCATTGTCCTCCAATGGAGAAAACAAATCTCTTCCTCTCATCACGGCAAAACAGTATGCTTGTCGTGCTGCACATTTGTCTTCCCTTGTAGTTTCATGGTCTCCAGTTGTGTCATCAAGTGATAAAACTTCTTGTTTATTGAGGCAATGGTGCATTCTTGCTGTTGGCTCTAAATCCGGAAATCTTTCTTTTTGGAAACTATGTAAGCCAGAATATTACACAATAGATGCTGGTGTGGTTATCAGTGATCCAATGCTCATCGGCGTTTTGCAAGCTCACAAATCATGGGTCAGTGTCATAACTTGGCAAGTTCTTTCTGCGGGCTCTTCAAAATCCTCGTTGCTTTTAGCTACTGGATGCTCAGATGGAAGGTAATCATGATTTATCCGTATTGTCTGTAAATGGGGATGTGCTTTCTTCAGCGCACTATGTACTGTTTCTTGTTTGCTTACATGGATTTTGTGAGCTCTTCTTTACTCATGACATGGCAAAAGTGATATATGGGGATAATCATAAGCATAGTTTTGCTTCTATGTTTTCTGGAACAAGGTCAAAATTTGTCCATAAGAAGCAGAATGACCTGTATAGGCATGCAATGAGCTTGTCCTACCTCTGCCTTAATAAATAAAAATAAGAAAGCACTCCCGTCTCCTATTTATTTTTCTAATTGCTGTGCTTGATGTTAAACAATCATGCAACTCATTCTCTGATGAGATATCTGGGCGGTGGTGAAAATACTTTAACCATATGTCTTAAAGATATTCATTCATCTTTGCCTCATAATTTACAAACTTTGGTTATTCCTATGGTTATTTATTGCCTTTGGATAGTTATTATTAGTTCTCTGTAAACGTTACATATCTCATGTTGAAGATTTGGTTTGTTTTTTCAGTGTTAAGATATGGTTAGGGAATATTGAAGGGTTAAATCAATGTGCAAGTGGAGAAGAAGTGCCATTTGTGTTAGTTGCTGAGGTATGTAATATATACCTGGTAGAGTTCACACTTGACATGTACAATTTATGTGTTTTTTTAGATTGCACAACATCAAATCAATGTAGCATGCTTCTGTCCCTTCAAGTTTCATCCTTCTGAACCCTGATGTTCTTCTGACTAAAATTTTCATTCCAAATGTTTATTTGGTCAGGTCGCCACTGATTTATCAGCTCAAGTGTCGTCAATCTCATTAGCCATACCTGCCCGGTCTCAACATGAGGTTAGTTTGGCAATTGGAAGAGTATCCGGGTCACTAGAAATATGGATATGGAATGCATCTAGCAACAAAATTGAGATTTCCAGTGCATGGCATGCACATGATCAAGTGGTAATGCTTCACATTAGTTGAGGATATTTTATCTTCAGAAAAATTAAAAAAGAAAAATGTCTAACATTACCATAGGCGACAGGTTTACAATGGGCTATGGATGGCTATTGTTTATTCACTTGCAGTCAGGTTTGTTGACTTTTTTTTCATGTCACCTATTTGATTGCTGCGCCTTGATTGTATATTGCGATTTAGCATGAGAACTTGTTCCCGAATGTTGGGTTGATTGAAGCCATTGGATTGTTGAAAGTTTGACAGTCTAAGTAAAACATTGAATAGAGATGTGGGATGTGTGGTGAAAACCACTTTGAGTGAAGTATGAGTTGACCGCTTTAGCAGGCTATGCTCAACCACGGATCACTACCTTTTTTTTTCTTTCATATTCTTTCCATTCTCTTTTTCTTGTTAGACAATCATTCTTTTTTTTTCTCGAACACGGAAGGGAATTGCGCATCATTTCTTTAAGAGAGAAAAAGAAGAACAGTAAAAAGGAGGGAGAAGAACCCCCCTCCCTAAGGGAAACACTAGACCAGAGCAAATAGCCTTCCACAGCTAACATGACCTGTGATTGTGAGACATAAGGCCAAAGAAACTAGTCTAGTACAGGCCAAGCGACAAAGAGCACCAACAGAAACTTAGGAAAAATCAACCCACAACAAGCGATCCAGCCAGCAGCTCCTCGAGTCCTTTTGCACCAGCAGAGCATCATAGGATGCATTCATTTGTGATTGTCTGCAGTAATATTGTGATGCTTGGACTTGCACCATTAAAGACACTCATTCCTGTGCTTCCAAATTTCCCAGGCCACCAGGGTAATGAGTGTATTAAGTTCTTTTTTAGACAATTGTTCTTGACATTAACGTTGTTTCCAATACACCTTTCAATGCCCTGTATATTGTGTGAGTAAAGAAGATTAAAAGCGTAGTGCTGAAAATTAACTAGTACCATTTTGGTATGATGCTATGTGGGGCAAGCAGTACTCTAGGTGCACCAAGAGGGCAAACGCGCCAATGGCAGCATGAGGCAGCAGGAACGTGCGGTGAGCGTGCCTTGAGTATATCTATCAGGTTGTTAGGCTTCGCTTCAGACTTTCAGTTTCTTAGGAAGTTTGTTTGGATAAGTTATATTTCTTAGTCTCGAGTGCACAAGATTAGGAGAGTACCTGTGTAAGGTTAAGCAATACATGAACCTTCCTTCTATCTCCATTTTCTACCTCTACCCTTCCCATTTTCCCAACATAGGGCGTTGAGGTGAACAACCTCCTCCCACTCCCATCCAGGATCGCGATTACCTCCACCGCCTACCCACACTTATGAAAAAGCTAAATACTTCTCGTGCTTATTTGTTTTAATAAGAGTAAAATGCACCGTGGGTCCTCAAACTTGGTTTGGGTGTCATCCAGGTCCTAAACTTACTAATCGTGTCACATTAGGTCCAAATCACCATTACTTGAAGTAATCTGCATGCATAGCACATTGACTTCACAATGACATAGCACCATTGTGTGGGGCTCACATGCTTGGGAGGGAAGGGATGTGACTCACATGTGGGCCCACATGCGTTTCATGTCATCGTGCAGTCAGTGTGTCACGTAGGCAGATTAATACTCAAGATATGGTGACTTAGACCTCACATGACATGCTTAGTAAGTTTAGAGATTTTGGTGTGCATTTTCAAAGTTTAGGGGCCTATATGGCACCCTCAGCCAAGTTCGGGGACTGATGGTGCCTTTTTTTTTTTTCGAAAATGAGCCTCTTTTACTATTGCACTATCTGATGGTCTGGTTTCATTTTGATAAATATAACCTGTAACAACTTGAGTACTAAGGTGCAGCATGTTTGGTAGAACATCCAGTTGAGAGGCTGCCCATGTGATCTTTAACCCAGGTGCTCGCGAGTCCTGGTTTCTTGATGTATTCTCCGTGGCAGTTTATTTTTTCTTTTTTTTTCATTACCTTTGATAAATTTAAAAGCTGAAATCTTTCTTGATTGTTGATTAATTTACTAGTTCAACTTAATGTACTATACAATTCACTCTGTTCTTCCTCCTGAGAAGTTGTATCACTCAGATTTTGAAAGTTGCACCTTTCAACCTGATGCTTTTCATTTTTCTTCTTCTTTTAGGACAATTCTGCACGTTGTTGGATCTCTCATGAAAACCACCTTGAAGAAATTTTTGTGCATTCAAATTTTCCAGAGCTAAGGGAGTCAGCAGATGTAAAACTAGTAGATACTTAAATGTTTGTTATCCTTGATGTCCAATTTTTTTCCATATAATTGGGTTCTCAATATGCATGCAGCTATCAGAAGTCTCTGATCGATGCTATGGTCTTACACTAGCACCTGGAGAACAGATGATTGCTGTGGTATGCCTTAGGCTTTTGTATCCAACATCTTTTTGTTCAACTGAACTGTTACTGTCGGTGAAGAGAGATGCATAAGCTGCAATTGATGGCTCTCTTTTTTCAGGTCCGCAGTTTGGATCTGAACCTTTTGAACCAGATGTATCAAGTCAGGTAATTTTACTTATGCGTTGTGAAAAGTACTGGGTTCTTGTGCTACAAATCTTCCATGCTTTAATATAACATTTAGAATTAATTTTGGTAATCAAAACAACAGGACACAAAAGGCGGTGGTTGAGTTCATCTGGATCGGTGGCCAATTTGTTGGTATTCCACTTGACAGGAGCATTGATATTTGCAGTCCACAGTCTGCAGACTTATCGTCAAGTAACCTTACATGGTGGGGATCCAACATTTTGTGGTCGCTGAAGAAATACGAAAATGTTGAAAAGAGGCTTGTGTTATGGGATGTTGTAACTGCGCTGCAAGAGTTGAAGAAATCTGCACCTGCCTTTCTGGAGACTTTACTGCATAGTTGGGTCTCAGCTTTATTTTCGGGCGACCCACTGCGTGTTTCTATCAATGCCCCGTCATGTTCAATGCATGGCATGATGCCCTATGTCAGCTCACGGAAGCTACACTTACTGAACATAATTTGCAGAAAAGTAATGCTCAGCAATCATGCACAGCATGGTCCTGGTGCTCAAAACGGTAATGAGGAAACAACTGATTTCTGGAACGCTCTTTTGGTAAGGAGTGAAACAGAACTGCGAGAGAGGCTGGTGGGTTTCACCTTTGCTGCAGTCCTGAAGCGGACAGCATGTTTGTTCAATGGTACCTCTACTGAAAATTGCTGGTTTCCTGTCGGGGTTGCCCAGATGGATTCTTGGGTGTCCATGAATTACGAAAAAGTGCATAGCCAGCTGCAGTCTATCAGATCGAAGATCAAAGATCTAGGAAGCAGGTGCATTTTCCCATCTCAATTGATCAATCATCTGTCATCCAGTTTCATCTGTGAAAAGAGATACCAGTTCACTAACATTGGGCACGGAACCTAACTGTTTCCTCCTGCAGGATCGACGGATACTCTGATGTAGAAAGCTGCCCCTACTGCTCTTCGCCAGTCCATTTCGAGTCGCCTGATGTAGCCATCTGCGGAGAAAGGCACACGCAGTCGCGGTGCAGGGCATCCATGATCCTGTGCTCCGTCGTGCAGCCAGTGTGGCACTGCGTGTGCTGCGGTGGCACGGTCGACAAGCTGTTGCCGGAGTCGTTCTTCACCATGCAGGCGTCCACCATCGATGATGAAGGATCGCTCGATTTGTCAGCAGCCTCCGTAGCACTCTGCCCCTTCTGCGGCATCCTGCTGCAGAGGTCGATGCCGGCGTTCCTGCTCTCCACCTCGCCGGTTTAGAGTCTTTGGATGCTAGTAGTCAGCCTCCAGGAGTAGTAATATCGTGATTCATTAGAGATTAGTACCAACTACTAAGTTTGTTCTAGTTGATGCTGCTTGCTCTTACCAAGTATTTTTTTTTTTTGAACGCAATGGCAGGAGCTCTGCCTTTCAATTAAGTAAGAGAGAGAGAGAGTTTATGTACAAGCAATGAAGATATGCCACCCAAAACAAATAGGGAGGGGGAACAGAGCCACTCAAAAACAGCCAACAATCTAGGGGGAGGCAGTGGCTAAACATAAGTTAAAGTTCTCTTTCTTTGCTCTGTCTTCTTTGATTCTTGCAGCCATATGTAGCGCCGTTTCTGCTTCATTGCTGAAAATTCTCAAATTTCTCTTTCAGAGTGGCACTGTGGCAGTGCGGTGCCCGTAGTGGGGCTCGAAATGTTTGTGATAGGTTCGGCTATGCTTAGCTTGCCGCCGTTTTCTGGTCAGTGTTTGTGGCTTTATTCTTAGGGCCATTTTGAATATGAAACTGATGGGCCTTTTGGTTTGAAATTGGACGCTTACGGTGCCTGATTACCAGGCCCAAATCAGCTATCTCTTAGCGGACTCTGTCTCATTCGATTTATGTTGCGGACAGGCACTTCCGCGAAAACCAAGCTCCACCATGTTGAGATCAACGACTACAAAAATCTCGAATCACTGAGTTTAGGCCAGGGTTCAGGCTGCCCAAAAATCGCACTCTACCGGCGTCGTCGGCGGACAAACGTAGCTTTGCGCCTTTGCCTCTGGTTTGGTACAGCCTCAGCCCAATAACGAATGCCAGCCCAGCCCAGCCCAGTTTCCATGTAACCCTAGCCCAGTAACCCACCGCACGTCCGCACAAGACTCCCTTCAGCTTCAGCTTCAGCCGCCGCTCTGCTTGTCGTTCGTTTACCCCGATCCTCTGTCCAAATCGAGCCACCCTCAACTCAACCCCCGGCCCCCGGCCGCCGACCGTCACCGCTACTCCGATGTCGGTCTCCGCGCGGGCGCTTGGATCTGCTCCAGACCTCCACGCTGGCTCCGCTCTCACTATAGTGGAGTATATACGGTAGTCAAGAACCACGCCACCTGAACTATCAGAAACAGTGGGATCGGTCTCGGTCTGCACACATCACCTAAGTCAGAATTCCGTCTGACCTGAGGCGACAACGTTTGAACGGACACCCGGATAGATACTAACCAGCTCTGACCATGACTTGTCGTTATTTATTTTAAGGATATATAATTTTACATGGAAACATGTATCAACATCCGTTGTAGTCTAGCTGGTTAGGATACTCGGCTCTCACCCGAGAGACCCGGGTTCGAGTCCCGGCAACGGAATCTTTTTGCATTTTTTTAGCTTCCTTTGTTTTAGCCTGAAGACATCTTTTTGTATTTTTTAGCTTCCTTTGTTTTAGCCTGAAGACAACACGCCGCTTTTACAGATTCATTCACAAGATACTGTTTCTGGTCTAAAAAGGTGCAGCATTGCAGGGTGAAGCACAGTACACAATGACCACTTCGTCAATAGCCCATTTCACATCATTCCCAAGCTGCATGGAAGGAGTAGCCTTGCAATCCCAGAACATTTAAGCATAAGCAAATCCCAGAACATACATTACTCAGGTACTACGGTTCTGAGTCTCCACATACTATAATATTATCAAGATGCAATACAAGTCTCAAGTTTTCCTAAGTTAGTTCCAGGGCAGACGATAATTTTATGCGAAAGAAGCAACTGAGCAATCACCAGATCTCAGTTGCTCCCAACCGTGAATCAGGTGAGGCCGTGGACGATGGATTTGCTAAACAAGAGTCTTGGCCTGCTTAGCTATGCTTTGACAAAATGGCCTCCGCGACGCTGCGAGCTATTGGGTGGTAGAACTCTTGAGCCTCCGAGAAGATCCTCTGGGCCAGCATCTTCTCCTCGCTGGAGCACTTGGCCAGTGAGCTGTAGAGCGGGCGGAGGTACTTCATCCTTCCCACCTGCTTCAAGCATTTCTCAACCTCGTTGAAGTAGCATTTGCACCCGGTGGGGATCGCCAGCTGGAGGAATGCGACTTTGACCTCATAGTCACGGCTTTCAGATAGCTTGTACCGCTCATCAAGAGCAGTGACCTGCATGCAGACAAGATATAGATGTGGTCAGTCGATCTTTAAATTACTCATTGAATTATGATGTATTGGTTGTGTTAGAAAGAGAAGATCTGGTACACAACAATAACATGCTATGTAACAACTAACAACACGCCAAAGCCTTCATATAAAGTGATGGACATTGGACAGCCCCACTTTACTTTGTACTACGTCATTATAGTGAAGAACAAGCTAACTTTAAACTTTCTTCAATCAGCTATATGTTACGGGATGCTCAGGTACGAAAAGCCAGCTATGAGTCGGTATTTGCCAGTGAGAAATGAACAAAAATACGGTTTATATAGATATGACCATGTTTAGTTTGCTAAAGACACAAATGATTTAGTTACAGAAGTCTCTTCATGACTAAATGGTATTCTGCCATAAAATCTCCAAACAATTTTTTTAACACACTAACCCACCATCCAAAAAGTGGGGAAACTGGGGAGGGCAATGTTATTTTCAGTGTTGATCTACATAGATTCTACAAAAGATGAACCAAAAACCAGAGCTCATAATATTCAAGTTAAGATCGTAAACAGAAGAAAAGACGGAAGTATAATCTCCTCCGCATAACTGATATTTGATCTTTCAGCTACCTAAGGCCAGCCCTAACGCTCCACGCTAGCTGGGAGTTTCAAGCTCCACGTCTGCATTGAATGTCCAGATCGACTTGAACAGTAACACTGCCAAGCGTCAGAGTGACTTGCAGGGGCACCTAGTGCTTGTTATGACAGATATCAGAAGCTACTGCACAAGCGTGCGATGGAGAACCTGGGAGTCTAGGACCATGCAAATCTCAGGTGGAGAGAGAGAACACGTGCAGAAAAAGGTCAGGGAGGTGCACTGCAAAGCAAAAGTAACTTGTTTGGACAAGCCAGAACTTAGCGTTGGCTTGTGATGGAAGGATAGTAGTTTCAGAACTCCATCTACATGTGCTGTCACTTTTCTGAAGCCTGCGCTGGGTTTGCTCTAACTGACAAAGCCAAAATAAATCAACTACATCTAACAAGCACAATGCATTTATAGTGTTGTGCCTAACTAATCTAAACAGACTCCTTCAAGGCTATATGCTTCTACCACCACAACAAAGCCTCTAAGTCCCAATCAAGTTGTGTTAGGCCTACATGCTTTTGCCAGTCGTTCATGTATAATCCAGTTCAGTAATCACCTCGGCTGTCCACTTAAAGGAGTTTGTGTCCCTTTGGATACGAATACAGGATGTGCACCTACAACAGGGCGTCCAGGACACCATCATCTAGCGATGGACCAAGGATGGGATTTACTCCACCCGCTCAGCCTACATAATTCAATTCAAAGGCTCGCTCGTCCCTTTCCGTACGGAATTGATTTGGAAAGCGCATGTGGAGAACAGATGCAAGATCTTCGCCTGGATTTTAGTGCAAGATAAAATTCTAACGGCGCAAAACCTACAAAAGAGAGGGTGGCCACACCAACAACAATGCGTGTTGTGCAACAGTCCCTTAGAAACCGGCCTCCACCTATGCCTATGTTGCCCTTTTGCCAAGGCGGTTTGGGATCAAATCCTCTCGTGGGAAAACTTCACTCAACTTCAACAGCAACCCCAGGTAGACCCCATCCATATCAGGTCATGGTGGGAAGAGGCGGCAAGGAAAGTGCCAAGTTCTGAGCGTAGACGGCTTAACGGGGTAGTAATCTACACCTTTTGGAATATTTGGAAAGAGAGAAATAGGAGAATTTTCAACAAGAAGATAGAAACGGTGCCGCAAGTAGCCGCAAGGATAAAGGAAGACATAGAGCAAAGGAAGAGAGCTCTCGCTTATGTTTAGCTGTTATCCCCCCTTTGGGCCGTGCGTTTCCCTCCTTTACTTGCTTGTGGGGGTTTGAAACCCTCATCTCGAGTGTCCTTGCCTGTACATAAACTTTCTTTCCCTATCTTAATTGAAAGGCAGAGCTTCTGCCATTGCGTTCAAAAAAAAATCCAGTTCAGTACAATTTCCACTTAAATAGTGATTTATCAATAAAACATGGATGTTGTCTTGCAAAGTAAATTACGCAACTCGATTGGAATAGATAGAACACAGATGCTATAAATGGAGGGATTCTGATTGACTGGAACAGGCGATGCAACACTCTGCAGTGCTCAACAGCCGATGATAGACCTGAAACACACATGCCAAAGCCTAACAGTTTGTACTATGGCAGTCATCATATTCTGAATAGAATCATCACAAGCACCAGGGTAACTTTCAGACGTACCAATAACACTGGTATTTGATAAGAATTCATACCTGTGAGGCTTCAACATCTGTTGGTAGATTTTCTAAGTAAAGTTCCCATTCTTGCCCACTCCAGTTTGCCACCTCATCTTCACTTGGAAGTTTTCCAGATTTGAATTCTGCAGCTAAGGAGCAGATCTTTTTGTAAGTAGCTGAATCTGGTTCCATGGCATCAGGAGGGATACCAGTCCCCTCAACCCACAGGTTAAGGTCAATTTGGTTTTCTATCCCAGGTACATTGGTTTTGAGGAATTCAAGAAATGTCTCTGTATCTATTGATTGGAACTTGAAGGTTGCAATGTACTTCTTTAAGAACTCGTCAAAAGCAGGCCTGCCAATCTGATACAAGCAACACGCATAAGACATCACACATTAGAAATTAGTCCAATATTGCAGTAATTTTACCGAAAGAATGTTGCAAGTATTAGAGTTGCAATGTTCCATACTCCCACCCACCTCACGCTCGATTCTCCAAAGAAACTGGAAACCTTTCTCATAGGGCACTTCAGAGTACACATCATCAGGGTCAATCCCTGCCATCTTCGGCTTCAACTTGGTGAACTCCATGTTATCCTTAAACCTCTCCATCATCCTGTTCAACCCCCTCCATCCAATCCCCATGTTTAAGGCTGCCCGCTCCTCCCCTTGCACAACCTCAACAATCCTCCTCTCAGCATATGTTGTGAATCCCTGTATCAAGTGACATCAATACGAGACTGAAATGTCAATATACAAGTATATAATATATATATATATTAAGTTGTTAGGCACTTAGGCATGATAACCAGTATCATCATATAGCCAAGGAAAGCTGCATATGTACCTCTGTTTCCACACACCCCAACTGCAAACTTGCCCTTAAAAAAGGTCCAAGTTCAAATTTGCCACTGAACCATCAAAATTCTGATTTGACACCGCTTTAACTCGGTCGTTACTCCCTATTTTGTATCTTTGCAAAAAATAAAACAAAATGGCAAAGGAAAACACTACATGAGCGTTAAAGACAAAACTGCCCCTTCTCTTATTTCTCCATCTTCACCTGCCTGCCTACCAGCTCTCCCATCACTGGCCCATGCTCGCTCAAATCCAACTCTTTGCCAGCCCTCCTGCTACTTCCCATGGTGTACCTCCACCTACCCATCTGACACCCTTTTACTCCTGTTGCTGGCTCCCTGCTACCCACGGAAGCCAGTGGCTGCAGTGGATGGTGACGTGCACGGGAAAGGCAGAGGAGAATGGCATCGCCCTCAGAGATGATCTCTGTGCAACCTACTGTTAGATTCTTCAAGCAAATGACTATCGGAGTGGAGGATGAGCAATACGGCGGCGGCATTGGTGACACCACCACCGTTCATCTCAGAGCAACACACTGCCCATGCTGCATGGTTCACACGAGGGCAGAGAGTGAGGAAGAGGACATTGTCGTCAAGGTGGTGGCCACAAGGGCCAGGATGTGGAGGTGGAGAGTCAGATGGCGATGGACCTCGGTTTGTCGGTAGAGGCAATGGTGGTTCAGTCCAGGAGTAGCAACAACCATCTTGTGTGGAAATGTGAAAGTCACCATCCCAGGTCAATGGGGCCAAGGAATGGGGTCAAGGAACATGGTACACTACTTGCAAGAGGTTTTTACAAGGTAGAGCCGAAAAGGGCCCCACATACCCAGGGAGGGGACGATGTTCCCGAGTCAAGGAACACCGCCTTCAACCCTGTTTTCTGTGAATGTGACTATGGAAATCTAGGGGCATTTGTGCAAAAAAAAAAAACATTAGTCAAACCCATCAGTCCAGTGGCAAGAATGGTAGGGTTCAGTCCATTCCATTCTGATGGCAAGTTTGCAGCTCCACATTTTTAATGGCAAATGTGCAATACTATTCTAAGTAGCGGCAAAAATGCAACTGTATTAGAAGAGGGGAAATCATAAGATTTCACACAAAGGGCAGACCCAGTGCCGGAGGCTCCCACATGAGTGGGGTCTGGGGAAGGGAAAAACCGAGGCAAGCCTTCCCCCCTGCAAAATCTGTGGAGAGGCTGCTTCGAACCCACGACCTGGTGACTCAGTGAGACAGCTCTCACCACTGCACCAGGCCTGCCCTTCATAAGATTTCACACAGTTTCAGAAAAATATGCTCTCTAGCATCTCCCACCTAACATTTCACACACTGGTCAGAGAAACGGTAAAAGCATTAGAAGATCTTTCTCGGAGTCATGGTGACGCGGTACCCAGTGTATAACCAGACCCCGGTAACTGGAGTGCAACCAATCTAGCAGAAAATGTATACTGATATAAAGAAGCATATATTCTCTGTCTATATTGGTAGACAAAGTTCTTGTAGAGTAAAATTCTCCTAATCTAAACTAGGGTTCTTACACTTCAGATCCATAATCGAAATCATACATAAGCTACTGGCTAAACTTGACTCACACAAATATTCAATGCCATGGGAGACTAAGCTAGTAGAAAGGTCTATATATTGGTAAAGAGACAAAGTTCTTGTAGAGTAAAATTCTCCTAATCTAAACTAGGGTTCTTACACTTCAAATCCATAATCAAAATCAGACAGAAGCTACTGGCTAAACTTGACTCACACAAATATTCAATGCCATGGGAGACTAAGCTAGTAGAAAGGCCTATATATTGGTAAAGAGACAAAGTTCTTGTAGAGTAAAATTCTCCTAATCTAAACTAGGGTTCTTATACTTCAGATCCATAATCAAAATCATACAGAAGCTACTGCGCTTTTCAGCAGCTGCAAGGCTTGCTACTGTTTTATTTTCTATTACAAGCTACAGGAAACACAAGCAGGCTTGCTGCTGCAGCAAGCAGTTCCGATCGGTTGGTAAGCTAGTAGCAAGGTCAGATATTCCACATAATATGGAATATAGGAGACCGTGTGGAACATACCATATAGACTACCACATTGAATTTTGAGGAAAACTACTGATTGCAAAGTAAAGGCTGACAGTGACCACACCAACAACAACGTGAGTCCACTCACCTCATTTAGCCAGAAATCTTCATTGGTCTTGTTAGTAATCAGATTGCCAGTCCAGCTATGTGCGAGCTCATGCGCCACAACCTGAGCCCCTGCAGCATCCCCTTTGATGACCGTGGGAGTGAGGAACACCATCCTGGGGTTCTCCATGCCTCCATAGGGGAAGCTCGGTGGCAGCACGAGCAGATCGAACCTCTCCCATTCATACGGCCCAAAGAGTCCCTCTCCAACCTTGACCATCTCCTCCACCCCCGCGAACTCCCTGGCCGCCTCGTCCAGCACCTTGTCCCCTCCCTCCGCGTACACCCGCGTCCTCGGGCCGAGGTCCCTGGACCCGATCCCGCCGGCGGCGAACGCGAAGAGGTAGGGCGGCACGGACTGCTCCATCTGGAACTCCTCGACGATGCGGCCGGGCGCGCACCACTGCTCGTCGTCGCACGCCCCGCGGTGGTCGGATGGCAGCGGGTCCCGGCGCGCGACGTGGCGCGCGGAGGCGACGGCGGAGAGCTGCTCGGGCACGTTGAGGAGGAGCGAGAAGGTGATGCGCGCGGCGGGGGTGTCGTGGCAGGGGAAGATGGAGCGGGCATGGATGGACTGGCACTGCGAGAAGACGAAGGGTTGGGCGGAGGCGGTCTGCGGCGGGGCCAGCCACTGCAGCGCGGAGGCGGCGGGGGAGGTGGAGAAGGTGAGCCGGAAGGAGACGGTGTCGGGGGGCAGGGTGAGGGTGAGCGCCGTGCCGAGGACCGGGTCGGGCGCCGCGGCAAGGGAGAAGGGGATGGGCTCCGGCGTGTCGGCGTCGGTGGAGGCGGAGTGGACGGTGAGGGCGCGGGTGTCGAGGAGGAGGTCCCCGGAGTGCGGCGCGGAGAGGGTGAGCAGCGCGGAGGCGTGTATGGTGGAGGCGGCGAAGTCGAGGTAGAAGGCGAGCGCGGCGCGCGAGACCACCGGGTGCGCGCCGTCGGTGTAGGAGTGGGGATCGACCGGCGCCATGGCTGCTCGCTCCGGCTGCGGCGAACGAGACGGGACTGGACACTGGAGGGTTTGGTTCGAGCTAGTCGATGGGACTGGAGGGTATGGTTGGTCTGGTCTTCGAGTCAAGTCGAGCCGAGGGGTTTGGGTCTCGGTGGGTCGTCGTTGGTCGGGCCGGCGTCGTCGAGCAGGGTCTGTTTAGATTGCAAATTTTTATAGACACGGTAGCACGTTTTGTTTGTATTTGACAAACTTTATTTGATTATAGACTAATTAGGCTCAAAAGATTCGTCTCGTGATTTACAACCAAACTGTGTAATTAGTTATTTTTTTTATCTATATTTAATGCTTCATGTATGTATCCAAAAATTGATATGATAAAGAGAGAGTGAAAAAATTTAGAATTTTGAGAGTATCTAAACAAGACCTAGACAAAACCCTTTTTGAGCTCTCCTTGGCTTTGTAGCCTGTAGGGCCATGATCGGAAGCAAAAGGAATTGATTCCTCCGAAGAGATGAACACCTAAAAAATCTCTCAAAAAGGAGAAAAACGTATAATAACGCCAGGAGTACCGACCAACAGGCTGTTCGTTCGGCTTACGCTCATCGTATACGATCGTAAGTTTCCAGTTGAAATAATATTTTTTTTTTAGAACCAGTTAACCGAGCAGGTTATAAATTGCTGAAAAAAATCATATAATATCAATCATACTACAGATGCCTCACTTTACATTATAATATAGGGGGGCAACGTAAAGTTAAGTGAGCAAGCTTACAAATATTTTATCTCCTTGCCACCTCCGTGTCGGTTTGCGTGCAACGTAAAGTTAAGTGAGCGAGCTTAAAAATGTGCATCAAGAAATTGAATGAATTCATGCCTGATTTAGACACAGGCATCATTTGCACCAATCCCATGAAAATGTAGAAACAACCCAGAAAATCAGAAGCACGGAGATTGTATGGATTAAGCGCAACTCAGACATCAGCATCAGGATTTAACGCGATACCAGTATACCACAAGGGGAAAAAAAACTCAGAAGGTTCCAAAGTGAATGTTATTACGATATGGTACCAACTTTTAAAAAAACAAATTGCACTCATAATAGCAATCATAAGCGTGCGCTCGATAGGGTAAACTGTAAACTTCATGGTTTCCCCGTCGCCAAGAGACCAAGCAGAAGCCATGACATCAAGATGTTATTTATTCTATTTCATATGTCTTGCCACTATTTTCCTCCTTTTGTCTACTTATTTTTCATAGAAAAAAATTGTTTTTCACCCCCAACTATGAAATGTGCATTTTGTGAACTTTCTAAAGCCATTGTTTTTACCCCTGAGGTTTTTTCAGTGGGTTTTGCTATAGTAACAATGGTGCCACAGATGGAGGTGGTTTTGAATTTTCTTTTTTTTTTTACTTTGAATTTTAAAAAAATCATAGTAAATCATAGAAAAATATAAAATGAAAAATCTAATTTTATTGGACTCCACATGAGTAGATCTACACTTGAATATATATATGCATGCTTTAGAAAATTTTTTAGAGATTAATTGGAAAATCCATTTTTATGTACAATTAATTAGAATTTATCTATAACTAAGTTATACATAGTCCAATGAGTAAAAATTTTACTATAGTTCAAGCATACAATAATTAACGGAGATTGTAAAAATTTCACCACAATTGGACTCAGACATAGCATGATTATGAATTATTCCAATTAATTACGAGATAAAATTAGATTTTCCAATTAATCTAAGGCTACAGTAAAAATGTTGTACTAAAGCATACCATTATATATTCACTATGTATCTACTCATATGGTCCAACAAAATTAGATTTTTCATTTGCACGATTTTTCAAAAATCACCAAAAATAAATAAAAATTCAAAACCACTGTTAAACTGTAAACTTCATGGTTTCCCCGCAAACCACCACTGAAACCGCAAAGGGGGTAAATAGATGACATCAGAAAGTTCGTTAAAATGACGGTTTCAGTGTCTTGCCACTATAAAAAGGTAGGAGTTAAGTAGACTTTTTCCATTTTCCCCCATCTGTGTTGCATCGTTTTCCTTCCAGTATCAAGGAGCAAGGAGCCATCGACGACAAGGTTCATGATTGAGAGGCAGGATAGCCAATCGATCTCATATGGGCAGAAGTTATACTTCTTTGTAGCACGCTCATTACCAATCTTCCTCATTGACCCATCGCTCAGGCTGAAAGAAAGAGGCCTTCACCATCAACCCAAAGTACTACCGTGCCACTCTTCCCTTGGAACAACTCCAACTTGATCTTTGCTCTGGCCTGCATCCGGACCACCCTCAGCGGCAAGGAACTTGCCAAATTGATTGTTTCAGGGAGGACCCAGCTGCTGGCGTCACTGCCATGCTTCCATAGTGACATCTCCAGGCCATTCAATAAGAGTAACAGAAGCCCCCCATCTGCAGAACTTGCTAGCAATGGCGCCTTGCTGCGTTTAGCATGAAGAGGGAGCTCTAGGTATGAAAACGTTGGATGTGTGGCGATATGCAGCGTGGCAATGTGAGTGAGGGTCCAGTTAGTCGAGCTGCCGCAGAGAAAGTGGATGGTGCCATGAGAAGTGGCCGCAGGTGACTGCACCACATAGAGGCCAGGCATTAGCTCAGGAGTTTCTGAAGACCACATCCAATGTTTGACCTTTGAACAGTAGGATCCAATTAAAAACCTCCTTTGTCTGATGATCCAAATGGCTACCAGCTGGAAGGACTGAGATACGCACTTGCCATGGTCGACATCCTCGGTGACAAGGTATACATGTCAGGTGATGTAATTTGAATCGAAGGTATGTGGAAGATTTCACCAGTGAGAGGATTGCAGACACATAATTTGTCCGACTGGGCTTGGTCACTGGTGCCTTGGCGGCGGAGGGCCAAGAGGCTGTCTTGCGATGCAATGGGCTCATATAAGTTGAGATCGCAACCGAGACCCCGAATGAAGGTACAAAGCTTAGCTGGTGTGAGTGCATTGCAACTGACTTTGCTGCCGATGGATTTTGACAATTCAGACATGGGCATGAAGCTCGGTGCCAAACTACGCCACTTGCCCTTATTATGCTGCAATAACTGTTGAGGAGGCTCAGTGCTGTCCTGGTAGAAGAAGCCAAGAAGCAGGGACGGAGTAAAACCATGGTCATGGCGACGCCTCATTAGGCGATCAAGGAAGGTTCTATATCCTTTATGATATTACGCCAAAACTTGCATGTTGAAGCAAGGCGGGCTAGGGAGGCAGGATCACTGATATGAGACAGGATCTTGTCGGTCATTTCTGCCGGAAGCTGCAGCATCGTGCCATTCTCCATGATTGTTTCCTGCAAAGAAAAGATGGGAGCCAATTTTGTTTAGAACACCACCAAAAGAAGACTGTCTGCATACAAGCTTATCTTGGGCTCACTTTAGGCCTGCACAGTTTTGCTGCTGCCGGACTTGTGCCCACATGCGCACAGTAGGTTTGATCGTTGATCTATGTTCAGCAATGATCCTAGCATTCGTTCTGATTCCATAAGCCTAATCTTAGCGATCGTTGCCTATAAATATACTTGTACTCACTACTATGATTAATCAATCTACTAATTCCATGAGCCAATCTCGGTTACAGAAACCTGCTCCAGATAAATTCAGAGTTCAGACAGCTGATTTCCTTAATTTCCCTCAAGGGCAATTTATTTCCTTAGATCTAAGCAATAGAAAACGTCAGCATAAACTTTACCAGCACAGTGAAACAACGAATCTGGATTCACATAAATATAATGCAACATTACAGACATGCTCTTTATATTAATCTGTACTTCAACTAACAAAGAAGCCACACTCTGAACTTGGATAAATAACAGCGTTTTTGTTAGAACTATAACAACGAACGGTCATGTTAACCCAAAAACACAAGGCGCAAAATACCTAAACTAATCCAGCATCAATGCTAGGGCTAATTTCGAGCAGAATCCAGTCCTCAACCAGTGTCTACGAATCCAGAGGTTAGAAAACCGTCAATGTCACTCCTAATCGACGAAAATTCTATAACGAAGAAACATCAACCCTAACTAGTAAGATGGGTGCGCACTACACTTTGGTGGGAGGACCACCAGAGAAAAGAGATACCTGGGCGGAGAAGTAGTAGGGACGGAGGTGATCTCGGGCGTCCGCACGTGGAAGGAAATCGCCGCGCCGGTGAGAGGCGGAAGAGAAGACGGCAGTTAGTAACACGTTTAGTTCCGCGAATTTTGAAGTCTTGCAAGACTTTCAAAACAATCAGCGTTTAATCTTAATTATTTCAAACGTTAAAAGTATTAGTTTTTTCGTTTATATTTAATGCTCTACACGTATCGTAAGATTTGATGTGATAACTGCTGTAGCACTTTTTAGAAAAAAAAATTAGAACTAAACAAGGCCTTAATAACACGTGGTTCTTGAATCTTGCCCAAAAACAATTTGCCTTATTTTTGTTCTCCTTTTTCCCCTCGAACAAACACTTCATCCGTGGGCCCATCCTTCGGAAGCTCGAGCACAGCACTTTTCGCTTAGCTGGGTTGGGCCTCAGTTTATAGCGAAGTTACTGAGAAGGTCTGCCCAATGGGCTCACCGCAACATTTTTTTTTAATGGAATCACTCACCTCAACATATTGCTCAGGCACAGATTATAGGGGTTTCAGTTTCGCCCCTTTGAAGGCAAGAACTTTCCATGTTCTAAGGTCGATCGAACAGTTTTATCTGAATGTTTTACGCTTACAAAAAATAATTTATAGCCAAACTAAAATAGTATAAGGTACCAAAACTTGTTGCTTTTGTCACAAAGAGGAGTAAGACTGGTGGCTTCAGGCTTATGTATTTGTCGTAGCGTGTCACATCTATTTAGCACTTGGTTAAGAGGTTAGCATAGTGCTGAAGTCTATTGTCTTGTTAGGAACGGACACAACTTGTTGGTCTATTTAGTTATACAAGAATAATTTAGTTTTTGAAAAGATATTACTCTCCTTTGCAGTTTAAGGTTAC